TTACGAACTAACTAATCAAGAAGGCAAGTGACTTTTGGTCAAATTTTTTGCGCATAACTCACAGCATGGCTGATGATATGACATGGCCACAAAGCATCATTCCAAACTAAACCATAACATCGAAAATCAAATAGAAGGAAATTCATGAGTAAGTCTCCATTATAGCATAGTCAATGTAAACAGATACACCTAATTTAGTTAATAGTAATTATGGGCAACAAGGGTCCAATAAAGTACCATAATCAGCTGATAAGCTTTTATTCAAACATTGTAATATAACCACAAAGTATAACTAATTAACCCTCAACATTGGAACCCTAATCATCTACATTTGCAAACTCAATCATGTCGCAGTAGTCTCTTTCATGTATTATCCGATCTTCACTTGAAGGAAATTCATCATAGCACCAACGGCAATATAGCCAGTTATTGACAATCTAAACAGTAAAATGTAACAAATTAGTGTAGATTTGTATTTTAATAAAAGAATTAATAGTACTAGTACTAAAAAAGGGCACATACACCATGAACATTAGCCGCATGTTGTTCCAAGCCTCTTTGATTCGGAAATGATGAGTTGCACCACCTACACCTACAAAACAGAGACTAATAAGCATGGAAAAATAAATTAATTTAGAATTATACGTTTTAATAAAAAAAATTATTATTTAAAAAGAGGGACACAAACCGGAACATCATTCCCATTCTCCGAGTCGCTCTCATTCTCTGAAGCAGTTTCATTCTCCAGATCATCACTCTCCAAACGATGATCATCATTCAAATTGAGATCATCCATCAAATGTGTAGGTGATGTTTTTTACCTCATTCTCCAAAAACTCATCCAACTCCTAATGAAAAAGGAGCAATAAGTTAATTAGCAATCTGCATTTTGAAATTAAAAACATAAAAAAGAGACATATACCTCCTTTTTCCTAGAGTAACATCTTCCCCCTGAAAATATTGTACTCTTGAACGACTGGACCCTCAACTCTCAACTCTTAACTCAAGTTGTCTTAATGCAAATTGTCATTCTTTTTATAATGCTACAACCGCAAACTTTTATCATGCGGGTCGGATTTGGGACGTTCACGCGGAGAGCAATGCTAAGGGCACTCGCCCAAAAGCACTCTCTTCAACACTTGCCCCTCTCTTGCTGACACGATGCAATGCATTTAAACGTGCAAACGGGCAACCGACTTCCAAGTTCCGATGCACGTTTTTGCTTTTCTTTTAGTTTTATTTTTTAGAATTCTGTTTTATGGTGTATTATATTATAAAATAAAAATTATTAAATAATAAAAGGTTTTAATATCGAAGACTTATATTTATTGAATGATTAACATTATATAATTTGATATAATTAAAATTATATAATGTTTTTATTTTTTATTTAAAATTCAACAATTTTTTTTAAATTTTTATATAATGAGATATGAGATATTTTATAATAAGTGATATTTTTATCTATTAGTAACATAACAATTCATTTTCATGTTTTACAATTAAAATAATTATAAATTATAAATAAATTAATTTTTTAATTACTCAAATAAGTGAAAATCATATAAATTGACATGTTATTATATTAATAAATATGAATATTACTAACCCATTAAGCCAAATGTCCAGATCCACTACTTAAAAGTTTGTTAATGAGGATGGATTCACACCTAAAAAAAGGATAAATTGCCTTCACAATCATTTTAAATTGAATAAACAACTTAAAATGTGTAACAATATAATATGACATTAACTTTTTGTTAAAACAATATTTGCGTGTTTTATCCATGTTGGTGATGATGTGGATCCTTCCCTTAATTTTTCAATTGTGATGCGTACTGAAAAATACTTCTTTTATATTCAAACGTGAAAGTGAGTCTTATAAATAAATTGTTTTATTTGTTTGAAAATAATTGTTATTTTTAATTTTTTAATTAGTAATTTAAAAATAATTTATGTATTTATTTTTATTATTCTTAAAACTCAATTTTAATTAAAAAATGAATTATTTTAATCTTTTTTTAATAAAAATTTATTGAAATAACGTAGTATTAAAATTTTTTCTTATAATTTTTTAGAAATCTAATTGATAAATTCTTTTCACATAAAATAAAATAACTAAAGAAAATTTTGATACTATATAATTAATTTATAAATATTTCAATAAATTTAAAAAATCTTTTAATACTCTATGATAAAAATTTGTGAAACTACGATAATTTCTATCGAATCTAATTTATTTAATTTAAAACATAATTAATTCTAGAATCAAACTAAAAAAAATTTAATACAAATATATTAAATAAAAAAATTACTACAGAAACCGTCTCAAATAAAAAAAATTTCCAAATAAATAAAAAATAGTATAAAATAAGATATATTTATAAAATAGACAAATATTTTATTAAAGTTACACTTATTGTCACCACCCATCTTAGAATATTTAAAATACATTTAAAGATTAAAGTTATTACAAATGTCACAAACTAGAATGTATTTATAAAATACCAAAAAAAAAAAATTCCTGAGAAATCACTGTCTCCAGTTTCACTAAAAGCAATAGTACAAAGTGAGGAAAAAGAAAATTAAAGATAAAAGACTTATTTCCGGTTACCGATTTATATCTATTTTCTCTCACCATTTATTCAACGTGTCAACAACAGAAGGGCAAGTGTTGGAGAGAGTGCTTATGGGCGAGTGCCCATAGCACTGCTCTTTGGCGCAAAAAAAAAAAAAGAAAAACGATGCCTTTCGTGCTTAGGCTCTGAGAAAACAGAAATCCCTGTCCCTAAGATGTCCATTTCTCCGCCATAATTCGTAGATCCGACTCAAGTTCCTCATTTTTCTCTTTTGTTTTCTGCTTTATTATTGCTCGCAATCGGACTTCCATTCGTTGCATTTAAGTCATGAATTGTTGATCTCATGTTGATGATCATTTTTGTCTGTTTGAATATCTATGGCGTCTTGAGACGACCATTCTGATGGACATAAATAATGCTGGGTGTGATTGTCAGGTATTCTGAGGTTTATAATAAAATATATAATTCTTCTTTTTTCGTCTTTTTTTGGGTACAAATATAATTCTTCTGTTGTGAGTTTGGCGTTTAATGCATAAGGTTGGATGGAATGGATTCTGTTATCTTTATCTTATGGTAGCAAGGAAAAACAATTGTGTGTGCTATGCTTTTATAATTGAAGTTCCATTTTGTGCAGCGGTCGAAATTTACAGTTCGCGGCTAGATAGATGTAGAGCTACGATAGAAGTCATTTTTTTTGTTTGATTGGTTTGAAGAACGGATTGATTTGATTGAGAAGTCTGGCATTTTGGAAGAAAATCTGGTTTCGTACATAAGGCTGGAAAAAGGAAGGGAAGGGATGCTGATATTTGGGATGCCTGATTATATATGTTTTATTGTCTTGGGTGGTTAATTGGTTTGAGTTGTAAAAGTGCACCACTGAACAAGTTATTCAATGCAAAACCGCATCTTGCTAAGGTCAAGCTGGAGGCCATGTTGCACGCTATGCAAGAGATTGCAATTTACATCCATAGGTTTCACAATCTTGATCTATTCCGACAGGGGTATGTGCTTTTAATTGAATTTTCTTTTTTTTTTTTCCTTTTTAAATGAATCATGCATATTTCTTCTTTCTTATACTACTCTCTTTCATTTTGCTGTCTGCTTAGATGGTACCAAATTAAGGTTACCATGAGATGGGAGCATGGTGAGAACACTTCAAACGCTACTCCAGCTAGAGTTGTTCAGTATGAAGGTAATGTATTGACACGATAAAGACTAGGTTATTTTTCTTCTGCTCATTATGTTTTTGCCTTCCCTAAAAAATTTCATTTCTATCACGTAGATGTTGAAGTCTGGAATGTTATCTAACAAAAATTGCATCTGGACTACAGTCTACTTGCTAGAATTTGCTATTTAAACCAGTCTCTTTAGTGATCTAAATCTCAATCCTGCAGTTCATGCAATTGGAAAATGCCCCATGAATTAAAGATATTGTCATATTGCTGATTGATTGGCTAAAACTTTTGTGATGTAGTGCAACTGAACAAATTTTATGTCTTTTTATGCTTCATGGTCTCTTGGTCTTTTAAAGTCTGGTTCAATAACGAAGAGATTAGAAAGAACGATTTATTCAATCTTTTCAAAATATGATTAATGACCTTTCTAAATATTTCTTTCCATACTAACCAAAAAATGATGCTTTTTGATGAGGAGATTGAGAGATGATGGTTAAACCTTGTCTGTTCAAAATAGTCCTATAAAGTACTATGCACCTATGATGGCTTACATGGGTTTCTGGAAATTTTAAAATCAAGATAATTTCATTTTAGTTGATTTTACTTGCTGTTCTGCATAGAAATAGTTCTTGCTTACAAGATTGATGCTTTCATGATTTCATTTCTTATATTTTAGGTTTTCTTCTCCTTCTTCCCTCTCTCTTTTTTCTCTCTTTTGTTTTTATTTATTTTTTATTTTTTATTTTTCCCTTTGTGAGCTAAGAATTAAAACTCTGTTTTTTAACAATCAGCTCCTAGTCTTGGCTCTGATGCCGCTGTAAATGGAGTGTGGAGGATTGATGATAAAGACAATAGTTTCTCTACACAGCCTTTTCAAATCAAATATGCAAGGCAGCATGTTCCCATATCTATCATGGTTGCATTTGACCTTCCTCTTAGTAAAAATGGGGTAGGCAATTTCTCCCTTTCTTCTCTTCCTCTCAAACCTGTCTCACAAAAGAAGGCAAGACAAACTCTTTAGAAGAGGGGCCTCTTTTACATAAGCTGCCAGCAATTGTATGGGATCTGAAGCCACTAATCATGCACATGTCATCATTACTCTTACCTTTCATATAAATACAGGAAAAGATGCTGTGCCTATTGCTTTTTAAGTCTGTGGATGCCAAAATTTATACTCCAACTGCTAGGAAAATAACAACATAGAAGTTCTTTTCTCCTAATTCTTATTAGGAATGCACCTTCAATCTTAATCAACGTTTTGGAATTAAGATCCCCAAAATCTTTCCCTGTTTATGTTCATTTAAGCCATTAAGTATATTTTCTATGCTAAATTGGAGTGCTTAGATGACATTTAATTCACAGGGGCCTTCGTCATCAGCTATCATTATGAAGTTTGAGCTTTTGTATGCTTCCATATGGGAGAATGGGTAAGCCAAAATGTTTTACATTTATATATAATATTTGAAATAGATACCCATAATTGATTAGCATGCACTGCACTCAGTTCTGAGTTTCAGGCTTCTATAAATTCTTCCCCAGCTGCGATCCATGAGTTTAGAATACCTCCTAAAGCTCTTTTAGGGCTGCATTCATATTGCCCTGTCCATTTTGATGCATTTCACTCTGTACTTGTTGATGTGACTGTTCACATCAGTCTGCTAAAAGCTGGTTCTAACAAGGCCGTCCTGAAGCTACCCAGGTTTGTCACAGAGTCTAGTTAACACAGTGGTTGTTCAGGGTTGCAGTGGGGTGCATTTTTATGTTGAGGAAACTTGATCAGTTGCATTTTTTCAGTGTTTCTTACACTGCATGTGAAGATGTTGCCGATGAAAGCATTCTTGGATCTGGTCAAGTATGTACTCATTTCTAAGAACTTGCCTCAAAATATGGCTCTTTCTACTCTTGCTTGCTCTAAATTTATGGGTTTAAGCATGTTCTCTTCTTTTTGTATACTGTAATAGGCTTTTCGCAAATCTATTCAGGATTTGAATTGAACCCTCCTTGTTCTTAACTTTTAGTGTGCATATACAATTTAGTCTGCTAGCTAGGTGTAAGCAATTATTATGTGGATTCCTGGACATGCATGTATGCTCATCTGCATAACCTGAGTTGGGTATGTGTCTTAAAGATTCAGAATGTGCATGGTTTTCTTTGGTGGTTACAATCCAATTCCTTGTTTTAATATTTCTGCATCTTTCAGTAGATTGTTCAAGTCCTTCCTTAGAATTGTAGTTTTGATGTGGTTAGTGATATGGTTTAAGTACATATATGCTTTTGCTTCCACATAAGCTCTGAATCTTGCATGTTAGGTGTCTACCTACAAATTACATTTAGAATTTATTGAAGTTATGAGCATAAAAAATAAGTTTTCATTAGAGTCAGTACTTATTAAATGGAGAGTGGTGGAAGAAGTGGGATGTCATAGCTTGAATAGATGATTGTAAATTGTTTGGGCCCCTCAGCTAATCTATTCTATGGAATTGAGTTGAAAGAAATCTTTTCATTTTTCTTTTTACCTTTTGAAGAAGTTTATTGGAAACTATGATGTAGCTCAGGAAACATTTATCCTATTTATTCTTTGTTGTATAATCTTGCCTTCGTCCATAATTGTTACTTGATAGAATAATAGTCGGAATTATGGGCAATTGACCAGGAAATGGGGCAAGTTGCTGATCCAAGACTGATATCACTTTTTAAAGCCTTGTTAATTGCCCATGACACGTTACTTGAGGAGCTTCAGAGAATTGGGAATGGTATTGACAAAACTGTTGATTTGGCTGAATTCAAATCAAAAATAAATAATATGAATATTCTTCAAGCAAAACTGGGAGCTGTGGTTGGTGAAGTTTCAGGACAAGGCAAGCCACAAAATGGTCTTGAGGTCCTTGATTTATTTTGTCCAGCAGACTCTTGATTCTTTTCTTTTTTCTTTTTCCTTTTTTTTTTATTATTTTTAATGGTCTATAATTTTTTTGTTTTAAATATTACCTTATAACATCTCTTATTTTACAGAGACAGAGTGGCACATTAGAATTTAGAAGTGATAACTTGGTCCACTACTTGTCCAAGGATGATGTATTTAAAATGTTTCATTTGTTGGGTGATCAAGTATTATACCTATGGAACATTTTTCTGATGTTCCACAGGTTAGTATTTGTATTTTCACACTGTTTTATTGCTAACAGATTTATAATATTATCGTTTTGCCTGGAATGCCTTCCTGGGCACCAAGTTATAGTTATCTCCTTTTTGCTTATAGCTAACATAAAAGAGGAGTTAATCCATGCGTGTGTTTGTTTCTTTATATGTGTTATTTTAGGTGCTGAAGTTGCATTTTGTTCCAGGGAAAATAAAACAAAGATATTGGAATTTCTTCATGATGCATGGGCTAAGGATAGAAGAGCCGAATGGTCGATATGGATGGTTTACTCTAAGGTTGATATGCCTCATCATTATATAAATGGTGGATTTGATGAGGCTTCCCACCATGTTGTGTATAAAAAAGGTTCAAGTTTGAGGAAACTAACTGATGATGTAAACACTAAGCTTCATCAATTACTATGATTCTTTGAATATAATTCTCCTTGCTTTCAGATTCTTGAACTTTGATCTTGTGCTCACAGCCTGCCCAGCTGGCAGCTATGCGTGCTGATCTTCACAGACGAAGCATTGCACAGATGAAAGTGAGTTTTTGTTCTCATAATAATGCTTATTCTTATCATCATGTCCCTTAAAGTTTTATGAGGAGGAGTTGCATGCTTGAGGAGGAGTTGCTTGCTTGCGGATGAGTAACTGGTCAATCCATGTATATATTTGGTGATCCTTTATGAATATTCCTATTGTAATGCTTTTTCTTATCACCCTGTACCCCAAAGTTTTATGGGGAAGAGTTGGTTGCTTGCAGATGAATAACCAGTCAATCCAAGACATGTATATATTTGGAGATCCTTTAAGAATTCCGATATTAATCGTAGAACATGTGATGAATGCACATCGTCGTGCTTTTAGTGACGATTCATACCTGAGGAATTTAGACCTGATAGATACTTCTAGCTTACTTACTGGAGCTTGTTCTGAAGCTGAGGAAAAGCAACCTAGCAAGAGCCTTCCAGAAAATGGCCGTGATTTAAAGATTGCTGTCTTTGTGCATGGGTTTCAGGCAAGTCTTCCTCTGCTCTTGAATCAAAGTCAAAACATTTCTACTTGAGATTGACATTTTAAGTGATATCATTAAACTCAATGGACTAATAAAAAATTGAATACAATAATAGGGGCATCATCTAGATTTACGGCTTGTTCGGAATCAATGGCTTTTGATAGATCCCAATGTTGAGTTTCTTATGTCAGAGGTAAATGAGGATAAAACATCTGGAGACTTCAGAGAAATGGGACAAGGGTTGGCCCAAGAGGTGATTTCTTTCATTAAGAAGAAAATAGATAAAGTTTCAAGGTCTGGAAGCTTGAGAGATATTAAGCTAAGTTTTATTGGGCATTCTATTGGAAACATCATAATAAGGACCGCATTAGCAGGTATATGATTATATCTTTGAAGCTTTATTTTCCTTATATTAATTTGAATTATGGTTCTAGATCCGCTCATTTGTATCTGCAGAGAGCATTATGAAGCCATACTTAAGATACTTATATACATATGTATCTCTCTCTGGTCCACACCTGGGATATCTATACAGTTCAAATTCTTTATTCAATTCTGGGCTATGGCTCTTGAAAATGCTCAAAGGAACACAATGCATTCATCAGCTCACATTTACAGATGATCCTGACCTCCGTAATACCTTCTTCTACAAACTCTCTAAGGTAACTGAAATGAATATATTATTTTCCTAATGTTCTAAGGGAAGGAGTTGGTAGCAATTACCATTATGAATTCTTTCTGGCCTTGTTTATTCTAAAAGGAAAGAATCATCTCACGATCTGCTGACCATCCTTTCACAGTACTAATATTAGTATCTTTCAGTCTTTGATTGCAGTACTAATGTTAATCTCTTTTCATTATTCTCTTTGTTTCAAGGAGAAAGGAAATAAAAGGGAAATAAAAAATGATTATTCTTTTGGCTGAAGTTCTGAAATAGTTTCATTCGTTCTTTCAGAAGAAAACACTGGAAAATTTCAAGCATATAATCCTCTTGTCTTCGCCCCAGGTATTCTCTTTTCACTTGTAGACTACATTTGCATTGAGTTTTCTTCTTAGCCTTGAAATGACACTGCCATTTTGTCTCTCAGGATGGTTATGTTCCATATCATTCAGCCAGAATCGAAACATGCCGAGCAGCATCAATGGACTACTCCAAAAAGGGCAAAGTATTCTTGGAGATGTTAAATGACTGTTTGGACCAGATACGGCGCCCAACCTCTGAGCACCGGGTGTTCTTGCGGTGTGATGTCAGCTTCAATACAACAGCCTATGGTAGAAACCTGAACACATTAATTGGACGGGCAGCTCATATTGAGTTTCTGGAGACAGACATATTTGTGCGTTTCATCATGTGGTCATTCCAAGATCTATTCCGTTAAACTGTTTTGACCAACCCTAGCCTGGTACTAGATATGGTGCCATGTCCTCTGGTTCCCAAGCATTACCAGGTTAACTATGTTTCCATCAGAAGGTTGTATCTCAATCTTGCTGATATGAATTACAGGAGCATTATAATAAAGCTAGCATATGTTTTTTAGCTCAGCCAGCAAGTCATGAAACATTAGGCAGTAGATGGCGTCTAGAAAACCAACAATGTAATTACCCTCAGGAATCGAAAATAATTGACTAACAATTAATGTTAGGGTCCCTAATATTATTGCTGAGTACGAGCAGCAGTAATTTAAGTGATAGAAGCCTGTGTTAATGTGTATGAGGATGATGCTATGATGAGTAAGAAGGATCGCCTGTGTCCCATTCACCAAACGGGTTTTTTTTTTTTGACAAAAAGAAATTAAGTGTTAGATTAGTATTTGTTTTTAAAAAATCAAATTTTAAACTTAATTTATAAGTTAAAGTGCGTTCTACTTGCTTCTCACTTCAGAGAAGTGTGGCCTGTCACTACAATCATACGGCGAAATGCACTAGAGTTTGTGATGTTGTGACATTTAGATTGGACCGTAAAATAATTTATGAATAAAGTATTTACTCATTTCTTTTCATGTATCCATTTTTGAGTTTTTTTATTTTGCATAGTAAAACATCAACAATTATAAAAAATGTAAGACTATTAAATGGAATGGTTTTCATTTTTGACAAACTCAAGTTATAAAATAGTTTAAGTTAATAGTTTAAATTGGGTAATATTTTGGTACAAATAATTAAGTAAATTAATTTTTTAAAATATATCAATATAATGTAATGTGTATTTTTAAAATTATTTTTAAAAAATAATGATGAGAGGAAGAATGAAAATTTAGAATCAACAATTTATTATAAATTATATTATTAAATTAATTAATATATACAACTTATATCATATTATTAATTTTAAATTTTAATTTTATTATTATTATTCTTTTAAAAATAATTACTTTCGTAATCCCGTTAGACCATAAATAAAAAAAAATACAAACAAAAACAATATTTTTTTATATTTTTTAATAGTTAATTATTTAAATATAATTAATAGTTAATTTTTAAAAATTAATAATAATAATTATTTATAATTTAAAATATCCTATTCGTTTAAAAATAATAACTTATAACTGTTGACAACACCCCAACTCGAACGCCACTTTTAACTGATGGCACACCCGTAGCCAAAAATACAGTGTGCACGAGCTCGCAGAAGATAAAATGGGCGCCTTACTGCAACCTTTCCCGGTCACAGCAACTCTCGTCTCGCCCATGGGTAGCTCTCTTCAAATCTGCATCCACTCCGGCCTCGTCGTTGGTAATGAATCCGGCGGAAGATATTCAGCTCTCCCGTTAAGAAAGCCACTCTCCACCAATTGGCCCGGCGATTGCAAGGCAAGTGAACTCCGATATCACTTGGGGAGCAAGAATTATGACCGGAGACGGAGAGATTTTGGAAGCAACACGAAGAAGGGGACACCCCACCTCATGAATCGACAGCATACCATACCAGTAAGCTGAATTTTATCAGAATATTTTTCTTTTAAATTAATTAAGCTAAGCTAAACACTATCCAGAGCTGACGTGGTCGTCTAACGATATCATCGTCTTTCTGTTTCCTCGATCTTTGACTTCGACAAATCTCTCTTCCGTTCCGTTAATATACGTATCTACGAGTAATTATCCTAATATTTTTTGGTAAATATATGTAATTATCCAATAATACTTCCTTTCTAGTTTCTTTCCAGTATATATATTTCAATTGCTCTCATTCTGTTTTCTCTATATACCGAGAGCAGATCTTGAAGCCTTCCCCGTTCTCTTTGATTTGATTCATTCATCGACAGAAGTTGTCTTCCACTTCAAAGAATCGTCGATTCAGCGTTCGGGTGTCGATGGGTTCGTTTTCAGTCGATGATCTATCCCGTCCTCATGATTCTCTGTTCCTTGGATTCGACAGCTCTACTCAGTGAGTCACTGCTTTCTCTCCCTTTGTCTTTGATTTTCAGTATTTATTTCAGTGATGCTATTCTAACCAAAAATTTTAAGTACCCATATGCCAAAAATCATTTCTTGATGATTGTGTTCTTATGATGAATAATGGGTTTTCAATTTCGTTTGTTTAGCAAAAAGGAAGGGAAAGTTTGATAATTTAGGCTTGTCACTGTTATCCTCTTATGCTTCTACACTTTGGTTGTTTTCTGAAGGTCCTTGAAGGCCACTGTGTTGGACTCCAATCTCAATATTGTTACTTCACAGCTAGTTCATTTTGACTCTGAGTTGCCTCATTACAAGACCCAAGATGGGGTTTACAGAGATCCCGCCGTTAATGGCAGAATTGTTTCTCCCACTATAATGTGGGTTGAGGCTTTGGATCTTGTTTTTCAAAAGCTCACCAAGTCCAATCTTGATTTTGGGAAAATTGCTGCTGTTTCTGGTAGTGGACAGCAGCATGGCAGTGTCTATTGGAAGAAGGGCAGTTCTGCAATATTGTCATCGTTGGATTCCAAGAGATTATTGGCTGATCAGCTTAGCGATGCTTTTTCAATCAAGGAATCACCAATATGGATGGACAGCAGCACCACTGCGCAGTGTAGAGAGATAGAGAAAGCTGTTGGAGGCGCGTTGGAGTTATCTAAACTTACAGGCTCGCGCGGTTATGAGAGATTCACAGGCCCGCAAATTAAGAGGCTCTTTGAGACACAGCCGGATCTTTATAACAATACTGATAGGATCTCTCTTGTTAGCTCATTCATGGCATCTCTTCTGATTGGGGCTTATGCTTCAATTGATGAAACTGATGGTGCGGGGATGAACTTGATGGATATAAAGCAAAGAGCCTGGTCTAAGATTGTTTTAGAGGTTTGTTTGTGATACTGTTTTGTAGTTTTGTGGTTTCTTGTTTAATACCTTATTCTTGTTGGTTGATATATCTTAAAAAATTCAGGCTTCTGATGTAATAACACTACTTATTCATCAATGTCTGCTGCAGGCTACAGCTCCTGGTTTGGAGGAAAAGCTTGGTAAACTTGCTCCAGCACATGCTGTTGCTGGACAAATCTGTTCCTATTTTGTAGAGAGGTTGGTAGGATATATAAACATGCTTGAGATGTTCTTGATTTTAGCAATTAGAAATGAGTAAAAAGGGATTTTTTTAGATGTAAAGGTGATATTGGGTTTTAACTTTGAACTAATAGCATACCATTTGCAATGTGAATGATGCATGCTTCATTTAGGAAATGAGCACAGCCTATTAAACATATGGATCTGGGCAATGATTTCTGCAGGTATAAATTCAATAAAGATTGTTTGGTTATTCAGTGGTCAGGAGACAACCCAAACAGTTTAGCAGGTTTCTGCTTCTGTAACTCAACTGTCTTCTTTTTTATTTATTTATTTATTTTTTTTTTGTGGTTAAAAAATTATTTTAAGATACTGAATTGAACATGCTCGTGCTTGGCATCGTGACATGGGCAACCTTTTTATTTATGCCCTTCGTACTAATGAATTACTAACCAAAAAATGAGTTTAATGAAATGTAAATTAACTTATATTCTCGATTTCTGCTTCTGTTGAAAGCATCTTTAAACTTGCAGGTTTAACCCTAAGCACACCTGGAGATTTGGCAATCAGTCTAGGCACCAGTGACACTGTAAGTGACATCTGTGTATACTTTTCTTATTATATCCAAAATAAAAGGCACACATGAGTTTTTCTGATGCGTTTCTTTCCTTTATAGCATGTAAACTGTTATCCATTACTTTATATGGATATATTATGCTAGTGGTTGTTATCAGTAGTCACAGCATGTATATTAGATGATTGTGCCATCTAGTTTTAACATTAATTTGTGTTTGTGGGTGAGTGGTTCATGTAGGGGCATCAAACATACCAATCTAAATCTCAAGTGGTTTCTCCTACTCCTGCAAGGGGTGCACATTTTTTGGACTACCTTCCAGTTCTTTAATTAAGGCTATATGTATAATATGTTGATAGTGTGTTTTCCTTGCCATAATGGAATCCGATTATCTTACAAAAGAAATTGATGTCTTTAAATTCGCATATCATGCTTATGTGCTTTTGGATCCTTCTGTTGTTGTTCAAGGCTGTTCTTCATTCCATGTCCTCCTTTTGAACTTTTTTTATTAGTCTTTCTTTTTTTATTTTTTTATTTTTATTTTTATTTTGATCTCTGCTAAATATATTTTCCTTATTCTTAAGCCAAAGTTGGTTTCAGGTGTCTGGGGTTAATTACCGTTGAAATTGAGTTGTATTTCTGTTTAATGATTCTCACTTTATGTTTATATATCTTGCAAGTTGCAAGAATCAAGCATATTATCTTGCTTTTCTCTATCTGAAAATTATTATATTTTGTCACTTCAGCTGGACCTTGAACTTATGTGAACTTTTGAATAAATTTTCATTTGAATTTGCTCACACAGGTGTTTGGAATCACTAAAGATCCTCAACCTAGATTGGAAGGTCATGTTTTCCCTAATCCTGTGGATATAGAAAGCTACATGGTAATGTTGGTCTACAAGAATGGGTCACTGATGCGTGAAGGTATTGCAGATTCCTATCCCATGTGTTTGAGATGTTAAGTAGTTAATACTTATTATGACCACCATCTTAAATCTAGATGTCCGTAACCGCTGTGCCGAGAAGTCCTGGGATCTTTTCAATAAATTTCTTCAGCAATCACCTCCACTGAATGGTTAGGACTGTGTTACTTTATTTTCCTTTCCTGGATATTTCATGTTAGGTTTTTGTGCTGCATTCTCACTCTAGTTCTTTCTTGCCATAGGTGGGAAGTTAGGCTTCTATTACAAGGAGCATGAAATCCTTCCTCCCCTTCCTGGTGAGTTACTAAAATTTTTCTTACACTTCTTTTCTTATTCAATTAATGTATGACATCCATCACACAAATTGACACTGTCATCTATGAATATGCTGTCCAACATATTATTCCAGTCAATGGGAATGGGATGATTACTTTGTGTATGACTGTATCTTACAAACTTTAGGCACAAATATATTGACTAAGAACTTTATAGATATAGCTGCACATAGTTATAATGTTATTTTAGATGCACCTTTGAAATAAAAGTGAAATGAAATATTTCTGGATGCTTATTTAATTTTATATGAAGCAATCTGCAGTGCAAGCTGGTCAGATTGTTCTTTCTCAGAATATCAAATGATCAACTAATGAGTTTCCCTTTTTCTTATTGGTTTTTCCAGTTGGCTTTCATAGGTACATTATTGAGAATTTCACTGGTGAAACTCTTGAAGGCTTGAATGAACACGAAGTCCAAGAATTTGATCCTCCCTCTGAGGTTATTTCTTATGAATGTTCCATTCCCATTGTCATAGACTGATGATTTCCTAAAACAACTTCCCTGAAAAGCAATGCATTCATTTGCAGGTCCGGGCTTTGATTGAGGGCCAAATTCTCTCAATGCGTGCTCATTCAGAGAGATTCGGGATGCCTTCTCCAAAACGAATCATAGCCACCGGTGGAGCATCAGCAAATCAAACCATTCTAAACTCAGTTGCCTCCATTTTTGGCTGCGACGTATTTACTGTTCAACAGACAGGTACACTGTCGTCTACCCATTTCGGTTTCAATCTAGTAGTCTAAACATTACTCTCCTTGTTCAATAATTTCTTTAACTACTTATCTTCCTGGTTGCTTCACAGATTCTGCTTCTCTAGGAGCTGCATTGAGAGCTGCACATGGTTGGCTGTGCAACAAGAAGGGCAGTTTTGTGCCTATCTCATGCCTGTATGGAGACAAGATGGATAAGACATCTCTCACCTGTAAGCTTGCGGTGACTGCCGGAGACCAACAACTCGTTTCCAAGTATTCCTTGTTAATGAAGAAGAGAATGGAAATAGAGAATCGACTTGTGCAGAAGTTGGGTCGCTGTTAGAAATAAAATGTGGTTCAGCTGAAATTTGAGATGGAAGAAATGAAATCCCCGTTGAGGCATCTGAAATAAACTGCAAATAAATAATTTTTTTTAGCTGAATAAGACAACAATCTTGCATATGCGTTTTCGTATGAAATCATTTTGTCAGTGTCAAGATAATGTAGTAGAATGGACAGATGGATTTGGCAGTAACGTTTGTTTCTCTCTGTGTGGTCATCCTCCCATGATGTATTTGCAGATGTTTTTAATCTATTAATTATGTTACTGCAAGTCACATGAAGAAAAGCATGTTACAAACAGTAACATACATGGGATAACGATAACGATGAGAAGAGGGAAATCCTATCTATTTAAATTATGGAATGAACTAAAGAAAAGTAAAAGTTAGGTTGTTTTAATATTTTAAATGATAAGATATTTTGTAAAAATATTTAAATATTTTTGATAAATCTTTTTTATATATTTAAATAATTTTATAAACAATCATAATATTAATCGTTAAAACATTTTAAATTTTCCCTTGAACCAAATACAACTTAGAAGACATGGGATTTTTAAATCTCTAGTTATGTTACTGCAAGTCATATGTTAATTAAGGTTGCAGTCTCTAAGAGCAGATCAAAATGCAACTTTAATTAGTGGAAAAGGCAACTATAGTACCCCCATAGGGATCTTGAAACAAGTGAGGAGATCAAGGAAAGGGAGGACTATATAACCCATCATTTGGTATACATTAAAAAAAAAAAAAGGAGGAGAATAATGGAGGCAAGGCAACTATGGATATACGTGACAACTTACTAATAACTTGCACATACTCAATTAGAAGCATATAAAGGAAGGGGACGCAGAGAACCAGCTTGACAAACATGCTTGACTGGACAAAAACTTACGGTATACTGAGCCTTTTCACTTTCACTTTCACTTTCACACAGTTTAAAATTAAACTGCTTGTATGGTTGCAACACTGAGAGGTTGTTCAGCTATTCATGCTGAGATGAGCAATGACAAAATAGATGCATTAATGCATAAATAAAAGAAGCCAGCTGACCAGTAAGTCTCATCTCGAGAAAATCAACCACATGATCAGAGTATGAGTAAATGGTTGATAACAGTGACAGTGCAACAGGCAAGGAGGGTATATAGTATATTAGTTCAACCTTTACCTCAAAACTGAATCAGGAGGAAGAAACAGAATGGGATCAAATTCTAATAGATAACTACATTAGAAAAGTGAATTGTTCATATGAACTACTATAATTTTTCTTTCATTGGATCCACAAGAAATATAGAGTACATTTTACTTTTAAAATCATGATCTAACTATCAGTGTAATGTCGGCAAATGCATGTGAAATAACCAGAGGTAACTAACCTGTCCTGCAGATACTGTTCTCTAAGCCTTTTTGCAGGTAGCTCTCCATCAAGGGGAAGTGAGAAAAAGCCAATCTATTTTAAAGCATTCTCATGAATTTTTAGTGGAAAAAGTTTCAACTGAGTTGGCCATTTCAGTTAAAAATAAATAAATAAATAAGGACAAATCCTTGGCTTGTTCATGAGAAGTTATAGAAACATAGTAAAGTTCTTCCATATTCAAGCGCCAAACAGAAAACAGGATCTCTGGGAATCATGATAAAAAAAGTACATATTTACCGGAGGAAAGTATGTTGGTCAAAAAAACATGTCAGCAAAGTTTTGTGCAGAAGCATTTGATACTAAATCACAATTGCATTGGTCCAATGCTTGACAAAATCTAAGTCAACCAAAGATAAGTGTTATTTCAGCAGAAACACACATAGGAACATTTTCAAGATCTTTCAATTTTCTTGACACAAAGCTTGGCTACACCATATCATAGAGAAACTGATATAAGGCTTAATAGGGCATAAAAGAAATACAATCTGATGGGAAACTGGGAGGCTGCATTCCACATTGGCTGCTGGCAAGGTTGAAAGGGCAATAGTTATCATGTCAGGCTAAAAGAAACACACAAATTTCAAATTGTGAAGAATTCATCAACAAAAGATCACCTCACCTTACCCAAATTAATCCCATTAACATCTTTTCATGTCAGAATTTCCTATTATCCATCAAACACACTGAAGAAATTAATAAAACTACATAAAGGCAACCTAATAGCAAACATGTTAAAGAACCAATAAAGATTGCATCAAATGTACCAAAAAAATAAAGAGTGCATCAAAAGATTAAAGCACAAGAGGATAAAATAAAAATAAAAGTTTCAAGCTTGTGAAATGTATGGACCCCATTAGATAAGATGATTCTTTTCTACCAACTTTACAGGCTTACAAATGGATTTTCAATGGAATAGAGGAATGCTAATATAATTTAATTAACTGCAGCAGGAAACAGAACAAAGAATCTAAATTCCTCAATGCTATTAAAGGAAATGGAATAATTCTATTCTTAGATAGTTTCTATTTTCCTAAATGGATATGCACAATACAAACGGGCATCATCTCCTACTCCACACATTTCAGCATTTCACCTGCCAAGCTTAAACACTCAAAATACAATCCAAAAATGCATGAAAAAGGAACTTCAAATTCAGTGAAATATAACAAAAAAATATAGGCAAAAACTGAAAAAGAGCAACTATATCTCTATATTTATAGA